CTCTAGTGGGAAAGATGAAACGAAGAGAATAGATTCACAAAAGCGAAATCCCCATTTCTTCTGGTTATTTGTATTCTTTTTGCTAAGGAAAAGAGAATTTCTTGGTGGTTTTTGGGTTTTGCTCCAATGGCTGCAGTTGTTGACAACTCAGATGAAGCAATGGGTGCGGTTAAAAACAACGATTTGGTCGTAGAAACAGCCAAATCAGAATCGGAGGTCTTCAATGTGCAAAACCTGGTTGATATGTTCACAAAGTTGAATCCTTTGGCCAAAGAATTTTTCCCATCATCTTATTATCATGATCGGACCAAAAAAACAGATATTTTTAATCAGATTCCTGTTAACAAGCAATCAGATGGGAATGAGAATTTCTCCAACAAAAGGGTAATTTCTTTCCACTGATCACTTACATTTTCTCATGGCATTCTTGCTTACTTCTTTTTTGTTTTGGATCATGGGTGTTTGCTAATTTTTAGTTTTTTTTTTCCCATTTTTGTTTGTTTTTCTCTTGTGGGAAATTATTGATGATATGAATTTGATTGCATAGATAAATTGGGGTTTTTTCTATTTGTTCTGTAATCTTAATGGTTAAATTGGCAGTTTGTTTCCTGTTTATATGCTTATTCAACTCTGCATTTTGAATTGGTTTCTGATATTTCTTCCCCTTTTGATTGATAAACTGTATGTTTTGCTGGAATTTATGATTCCAAGAGCTTTAATAAACCTAATTATTGTCTAATCATTAATTTGATTGATTTGTTGGAACTTGGATGCATTTGGACTTGGTTGCTCCCTCTACTCATCATCATATTTGGTATTATGCTGAATATCGAGTTATTGACACGCGAGGGCCTTATATTTGTTTATAGTTTTACATTGGTTACATTTGGTAAATGATTATAGTTGTGTTTTTCAGGGTAAAAATAACTTCAACCAGGGTAGAAGAAGGCTTAATGGTAGAGGTTTTCGAGCTCAAAGAGATGATGGCATCAGGCGAACAGTCTATGTTTCCAATATTGATCTGACTGTAAGTTTAAACAACAATCCGGTCTAGTGATTTTCTTTTTGTTGTTTTATTCTGATTTGGATAGCTCACTTGTGAAATTCATTTCCTTCTTTGTGTTAGATTACCGAAGAGCAACTTGCCAGCTTATTTAGTAATTGTGGACAAGTAAGTTATAATGATGGCTTTAAAGTTTTTCTTGCAACTTCACTTACAATTGGCTAATAGTGTATTGTAGCGTAACTTCATTCTTTAAAGCTTTATCATGCCTTTCTCTAGAGCTCTCTCTCTCTCTCTCTCTATTGCTGCGGTATGCACAAGACTTGAGTTTTCCTGGGGTTTTTTCACGTTTTTCAATCATCTTTTTATTTCATATTTTTGGTTGTTATCTCCTCTTTGCTTGAGTTTAAAATGGTGACGATATTACTGTAAATATGATAGCTTATGTGACAACTTACTGTATATATGGCATTTCTCAAGTGGTTTGGGAATTTATTATTGAAGGTTGTTGATTGCCGAGTTTGTGGTGATCCGCATTCAGTTCTTCGCTTTGCATTTGTGGAATTTGCAGATGAAGGCAAGCAGCTTCTATGGACTGAACTTAAAACTTTTCTTTCATAAAATCGATGTACATTTATTCACAATTTAAATGAACTTTGTTTTCACAGATGGTGCAAGAGCTGCTTTGAACATTGATGGGACAATGCTTGGGTTTTATCCAGTTAGGGTCTTGCCATCAAAAACTGCCATCCTTCCTGTGAACCCTACATTTCTTCCTAGGGTATGAATGAATAACTTTCTGGCTGTTAGTTGTCTCGGTTTTGCACAGGGCTTCATTTTATCCAATACTGTTTCACCATCGTTAAATAGCTTTTCAGATTTTTCTCTATATTTTTGTTCTGATTCTCTTTGTTGATACGGGTAATAACTACAATTGCAGTCAGAAGATGAAAGGGAAATGTGCACCAGGACGGTTTACTGCACAAATATTGACAAGAAGGTAACTCCGCCATGTTTGCCCACATGAATGTTTGAGTTCCGAACATTTGTAACTGAAGTAATCGGTTATCATCTCTTCCTCTATCATCTGTATTATTAATGTAACTTTGTTGATCTAATCCGATCAACATTTTCACTTCAACTGAAGGTTTCTCAAGCTGAAGTGAAGAATTTCTTTGAATCAACCTGTGGTGAGGTTAGTACATCAAAACCTCACACCTTTTCTTGAAGGAGATTAAAGGTAGAGGGGCTTATCATGGTCATTTTATTTAATTCTCAGGTCACTTGCTTGAGGCTTTTAGGGGATCAAGTCCATTCAACTCGTATAGCTTTTGTTGAATTTGCCGTGGTGAGTTTATGTTTGTGGGATTCTTCTCGAAATAGATCTGGGGTTGAAACTATATTTATGATGATTTAAAATCTATGTTTCTGGCTTTGGTTTAGTATATTTTATGTCGGTAAAATTATTTATAATATGTCACGGTCGACTCTTTACAAACCGTTTGTGCAAATGATTAAGTGAAGTCTATATCAAAACACGAGCTCTTCTTGGAACAAGTTTTCTATATATATATATTGATCTATTACAGCCAATGACATATATAAGCATGTTTTTTCATCAACTCCTTTTATGACTGAGTTCATAACCTTTATAATTCAGCTTTTCCATGTGTAATCTCGATCTCAGGTTTTAACTATGCAATTGCGAGACAGTTGATTGTATGTTTGTTCGATCGATGCTTTCTTTTTTTCTTGAACCTCTTTCACATTTCCACGGACCATCTAAATTTAGGAAAGGGTTTCTGTCTTCTTTGATTTTCTTATTGATTTTATAATGTCATCGATGATAATTCGACAAGGCATTTATGTTCTTTTTTCTTACAAAGGATGTATGTGAGTCGATTGACTTCTTCCATAGTTCATTCAAATATCGCATAGCGATACCATAAATGTCTATCCGTTTGATTGTTTGTTTACCACTGAACTTTGTTCCCATATCATGACTTGTTTTTAACTACGATAAGTAACTATCCATCTACTCTTGCATTAAATCGGCTGTACATGCTTGAATCATCGCCGGCAAAAAGCACAACGCCGTTGTGCTTGCACTTTTACATATATAATATGCAATAAGATTCAGTGACGGTTAATGAGAATACTTTTACTTGTTTCCGAGTTAATAATATTTCCTGCATGATGTTTTGTGCCTTGAATCGGATTAATAATTTTCTTCCGTTCTATCGACAGGCGGAAAGCGCCATACTTGCACTGAATTGTAGTGGGATGGTGCTTGGAACTCAGCCTATCAGGTGTGTCCCTGAATTGTTTCCCCCTAAATTGTTGCTTTCGATTCCATGATTGTCGTCGATTAAAAGCTTAACCCTACTGCGTTTAAATTCCGAACTTTCAGGGTAAGTCCTTCAAAGACACCGGTGAGGCCGCGAGTTACGCGCCCGACATTGCAGTAACTGATCAACCGAGTTTGGCGACTTCCAAATCGTGAGAAACTTGATTGCGTTGAAGGGATGTTGGAACTTTTCTTGATCTGTTGCAATATTTAATTTCATCTTTGAAAGATTTCGGTCGTGCTTTGGATTGAAGCCACTTTGAGGGAATCATTTCATGCTTTCTTGAATTTTCTTGCATTATCTGATCAACCAAGCATTTTAAGATCCGACCCGAGTTTGAGGGATCGACCCGAGTTTGAGGGATCAATCATTTTTCCTGAAAATTTACTGAAATCAATTTGAATATGTTCTTGTTAGTTAGTTAATATGCAATTGATTGATTCTAATATTAATGAAAATAGATGAACATACTTGTAACATGGCATACATATCAAAACATCATATAGTCATGCACACATTCGAGCATGTCAAATTACATGCTCGAACATCACTTTAAATAGATATTATTTTATAATCATCTCAAATTATTTAAAAAAAACTCAATAAACATATTAACTTAAAGAATCATAATAAACATGTCAAGATTCCAAAATTACATATTTAATCTATACGGTCATGCTTTAGTAAATATTCATGCATTTAACATCATGCACCTTGAACAAACTTATTATGCATCATCATCACATATCACATACATTAACCAAAAGAAAATTGAGTCTAATGTCGAAGATGAGGTATAAGGACATTATACGTTGATATTTTCCCCCCAACGTTCATAATTAATATAAACAAAAAATGCCAGTGAAGAAAAATTATATTTTTTTAATCGAGTCAGGTTCAGTGGTCTCTAATAAAAATAAAATTTAATATAAAAATTATGATGTTAAATGTTAAAATCCAACTTAAAATTTAAAATCTAAAAATTAAATAAACTATATTCTTAAAAGTAGGAGAATTAATTTCTGAATGTTCAAAGATTTTATAATTTTGGAGAATATTTTAACCGAGCTTTTGTTATATAATATTTTAACGGACAAATAAATTAGATAAAAAAGATCTACTCGCAATATATGAAAATTGATAATAATCGTAAACATAATATGTAGTATTTATTTTTATAAGTAATTATATTAAATCATTAAAACATAAAAAGTAGTAATATAACAAATTATATGATAAAATTATACACATTAAACTACTAAATCATAAATAATTATACATTAGATCTCAAAACCTTTAAAAAGTATCAACCTAAAAAATTTCGAAATGAGATATTTTACCCATTAAACTTTTAAAATTCAATTAAATTTTAATCTAAATGAAAATAATATTCTATTAAATTTATATTAACCCAACTAAAAAATTTATTTAATTAATAATTAATTTTTTTAATTTTAACTAATTTAATTTGATCGATGATTGAATTAACCATTAAATATCTATACGTTTCGATTATTTGTTCGACCTGTATATATTAGGCTTTGAATAGGATTTTGCAAATTCCCAAAACTCCAAAAGCCCAACCCATATAAAATATCGTTTCTCCAAGAATTGAATCCGACCCATTAAATCCTTTTCTTCTCGGAATCAAGAGTGCAAACTATTGCGAATGTTCTCTTTCTGCGAAACTAGTGTTACTCTCTAAACTTCGTCACCTATATTTCATCTCCGGCCGCCGGATCTCCTCATTCGCCGCCGTTGCCCCTATATATTGACCTCCATTCGAGCTTCCGGTAACATCCATCTCGCTTGTTTTGTTTCCAGTTCCCCTCTCTCTCTATCATTTTTTCATCTTTTCATTCTCTGTCGAGAATTTATGGGTCCTTGGAATTTTATGGTATTATGTTTTAGATAATATTTTTATTATGTTCTGCTGGTGAGTTTGGTTTTCAATTTATTAAGGAAGCTTCTTGTAATCTACATACTTTACCCTAACTTGAACAAAACAAATTGCTATCCACTTTTTTTTTTACTTTTAAAGTTGTGAACTTTTTAGATTTCGTGTGCAGAACATAACATAGGCGCTGTTTGGTTTATTATGTACCACTTTCGTTTTGTTTTTGGAGGTAAAATCGTAAAAAGAGCGCGATTGGATATAAGCAACTGGTAGTTTTTAAAGAATTAGAAAAGTATATGATTCTACTTTTATGTAGAAAAATATTGTATTTTTGTACTTATTTTTGTTTAATTTGAATTTTCCTATGCTTTTGCGTTTCTACTCTGCACCTTTTCTCCCCCTTTTTTGTGCAATTTTTTGAAAAAGGTGGGCGTGAATATTCGAAAGTGATAACCGACTAGGACCTTGCTTGTTATGGTTTCAATTATGTATTGATTCCACACCACTGGTATGCTTTTGGGTTGTGCATCTGCGTTAATGTTTTGGGTCATTGTATCGAATGAATGACAAAATATTGATGGTTTATTTGCAGATAATTTTTTGAGTTTTTCTATTACTTGCAATGGAGAAGGATAGATATGATAGGGAAGACAATGCTTCCAGAGAACGCTGGGATGGAGGAGCCTACAGTGGTGAATTGGAGCAAAATGAAAAGCATCGGAATAAGGACAAGAAGAAGAGCAGTCGAGAAGAAGAAAAGGATCACCGGGGTAGGGAAAGAGAGCGGGACCGTTCTAAGAGAAGCAGTGATGAGGTCTTGAAAGAAAGGGAGAATGAATCCTCAGAAAAGGATAGAGTGTCAACCAGGGAGAGGAGGAAGGATGACGGAGATGAGCATGGGAAGGAAAGAAGTAAAGATAGTAAGGTGAGGGAAAAAGAAAGAGATCATGACAGGGATAAGTATAGAGATAAAGAACATGAGCGTGAAAGAGAGAAGGATCGAAAGGATCGAGGAAAGGAAAAGGACAGGGAGAGGGATAGAGAGTCTGAGAAGGAGAGGGGAAAGGATAAAATTAGAGATAGGGATAGAGAAAAGGAAAAGGAAAGAGACAAGGGAAAGGAAAGGGAAAAGGAGAGAGAGAAAATTAAGGATCGAGAGAAGGAGAGGGAAGGTGAGAAGGATAGAGATCGAGAGAAGGGAAAGGAGAGAATTAAACAGAAAAATAGGGAGGAAGACTATGAAGGAAGCAAAGATGGGGAGCTAGCATTAGACTATGAAGAGAGTAGGGATAAAGATGGAGATGAATTGAATGCTGGACGCAATTCAGGTTTAGCGCAGGCAGCTTCAGAGATTGAGGAGCGTATTGTGAGGTGAGCGAATCATTTAGTCACATTTGACTTTAACTTGTCTGCATATTAGACAAATTCTTACTGCTTCAATATATCTTTTATGAAGTGTTACTTGTCATGTAAAATTAATTCTCTGAAAGGCATTCTGCTATTTCATATCTTAGACGGGAATATTAAGGTCATGCAGTGATTTTGAATTAATTTTTATAAAGAAAGACTATGATACTAGAGTCTTTAAAATATTTGGTGATCTGGTCAGAAGCTTTCTAGTTGCTTGACTCAGGCTTTATTTCTCAATTTGATGACATATTAGGCCTTTTCTTTCGGACTGTGTATTCAAACGCTTAACCTAATGCAAGTATTTATTGTGAACCTTTTCCTTATATTTGTCTGCTCAGAATGAAAGAAGAAAGATTGAAAAAGAAATCTGAAGGTATTTCGGAGATTTCAACATGGGTTAGTAAAAGTCGTAAAACTGAGGAGAAAAGGAATGCTGAAAAGGAGAAAGCTTTGCAGCTATCAAAAATTTTTGAAGAGCAGGTTTGATTTCTTTGTTCTTTCTTTCCTACAATACTTGGTTAATTTGTTTCTTCTCACTGTAATATTTATTTGCAAGTGATATGGATGATGGTAATAATTAATGCTATGGAATAAATTTCACAGGATAATTTCGTTCAGGGAGAAGATGAAGATGAGGAGGCTGATAATCACCCTTCTCGTGCGTTTGCTTTCTTTTTTAAGATTTTCTATTTGTAACATCAGTTATGTGTTTAGGATAGTATGCTTTTGTTAGTGCCATATTTATCCTTCTTTCTTGAGATGACCAAAGCAAATACTGCAACTGATAATGTGAATAACTGAATCATTAATTATAAATAGAGCAGATAATTTAGGATATTGCTTATTGTCATGGATTAAGTTTATTGTTATTTACAAATGATGTTGTAACTACTGTATCTGTAAAATTACTTCATGTGAGTCGGCCAAATGGTCCTTCTTATGGCCCTAATATATTTGGGGTGTTGTTCAGTGTAGGAGCTAATGTTTCATTTCAAGTGTCATGACTGTTTTTATTCTTCCATCTCAGCAACTGACTTGTTGGCTCTTTTTTTAAATTGACAATCTGTTAACAGATGATCTAGCAGGGGTGAAAGTTCTTCATGGCCTTGACAAAGTAATGGATGGCGGAGCTGTTGTTTTAACACTCAAAGATCAAAGCATACTTGCTAATGGTGACATTAATGAAGGTATACAAGTGTTGGGGTGCTACTCGTTTATCTTTTTGTGTATGTTTGTGATGTGATGTAGATTTTTGTGTAACAGAGCTTTCTGGTATGATCCGACAGATATTGATATGCTTGAAAATACTGAAATTGGAGAGCAGAAGCGACGAGATGAGGCTTACAAGGCTGCAAAGAAGAAAACTGGGGTTTACGATGACAAGTAAGATTCTGATTGTAATGTGTTTGCTGATGAATGTGCATATGCTCGATTCTAGCATATGCACATTATTTTGCCTTTAGTTTTTCTCAATCGAGTAAAAATCAAATATTTAACCCTAGATTGAACAAAATAATTGGTCAATTTTTTACCCTTTTTAAATCGAAGTTTTGGTACTGATCTAGGTTTATCTCTATATTACAGTGTATGCATTTTTTTGGTGCGTTATTTGCCTATTAGCATATTTTGTATTTACCTGTAATATGTAATCCTAGGTTGAACAAAATATAATAGGTCAATTTGTTGACTTTTTTTATTTAGATGCTAGTTTAGGTTTTAAGTCTATATTACAATGTACTCATTTTTCTGAAGTTTAACTCCCCTATTAGCAAATTTATTATCTACCTTTAATTTGAATTCTGTAATCTAGGTTCAATGATGAGCCTGGTTCAGAGAAAAAAATACTGCCGCAATATGACGATCCAGTCACAGACGAGGTTTGCCTTCATGCTTATCTTTCTTTTCCTTTTTAAATTTCAATTAAATTCTTACCTTTCAAAGTTTCCTTGTATTTCTATTGGAGGAAAAGTGGCATTTGGTTATTGGTGGCTGTTTTACTTTTTATTTATTTTCAGGGTGTAATTCTGGATGAAAGGGGGCGCTTTACTGGTGAAGCTGAAAAGAAACTAGAAGAGGTAATTTTTACTGGCCTTTTTGAGCTGTTAGAAACAATGAAACATATTTTAACATTTTTTCTGCTCCTGATGTTCCCTCATATTTTTCCTTTCATTCACTTGGCAGCTCCGTAAAAGGTTACAAGGAGTTCCCACTAATAACCATGTCGAAGATCTTAATAATGCTGCTAAGATTTCATCGGATTATTACACCCAAGAGGAAATGCTTCGATTTAAAAAGCCCAAAAAGAAGAAAGCTTTGCGGAAGAAAGAGAAGTTGGATATAGATGCCCTTGAAGCAGAAGCCATCTCTTCTGGGCTTGGTGCTGGAGATCTTGGTTCTAGAAATGACTCTAGAAGACAAGCAATTAAAGAGGAGGAAGCCAGATCTGAGGCTGAAAAGAGATATAATGCATACCAAGCAGCATATGCCAAAGCAGATGAGGCATCTAAGCTACTCCGGCATGAACAAACTCTTACAGTAAAACCTGAAGAAGATGAAAATCAAGTTTTTGCTGATGATGAAGAGGATCTTTATAAATCGCTTGAAAAAGCAAGGAGGTTGGCTCTTAAAAAGCAAGAAGAAAAATCAGGTCCACAAGCTATTGCACTTCTTGCTACCAAAGCTGCCAGCAATCAAACTGCAGATGGTCAAAACACCTCCACTGGAGAGGTACAGGAAAACAAGGTTGTAATTACAGAGATGGAGGAGTTTGTATGGGGTCTTCAACTTGATGAAGGTTTGCACATTCTTTCAAAATTTACATCACTATGATCTTGTTCAAAACATGACCCCTTTTATTGTGTATACTGCCAGCTACTGTATCATCTGCTAAAAATTTGGATTATATATTTTAGCCTCACAGTTTCCCGTCCTGGGGTAGTCTCATTGGAAGTTTTAGGTTCTAGATTATACACCGGTCACGCATTTTTGTCTTAATTTTATCTTATTTTTTGAATCTCCCTTTTTTCTCTTTTAGCCACACATGCTTAGACCAGCCAACCTGACCCTCTTTTCAATAATAATAATAATAACAATAAAAAGAATTATGTTTATGTACATCATATCTTTCTGGTAAATGATATAACTTTTAATGTTGGTTTGGTTTTCAGAAGCCCATAAGCCCGAAAGTGAAGATGTTTTCATGGATGAGGATGAAGTACCTGGAGCTTCTGAACAAGACAAAACAAATGCAGAAAATGAGGTGGGTGGATGGTCGGAAGTAGCTGATACTAGTGCTGATGAAAAGCCTGCTAATGAGGATAAGAATGAGATTGTTCCTGATGAAACTATTCACGAAGCTGCAGTTGGCAAAGGATTATCAGGCGCACTGAAGCTGCTTAAAGATCGAGGAACACTTAAAGAAACTGTTGAATGGGGTGGCCGGAACATGGACAAGAAAAAGAGCAAACTTGTTGGCATTGTAGACGAAGATCGTCAAAATGATAGGTTCAAAGATATTCGCATCGAAAGGACAGATGAATTTGGTCGAATTGTAAGTACTTCAATCTGATCTATTTCTTTCTTAAGTTTATGCCTTGGGAGTTAGTTCTATTCTATTAATGTCAAATAGCAGAAAAAGCCTAACTTTGTCAAGGATTAGAAATGCTTCAAATTAATGGGCATGCTGATGCGTATTGCTTTTGGTATCAGAATTTGTGATCTAGAACAAGTCCAATGCTTATTATATTTAATGATAATTTATGTTCTATTATATATGCATTTGGGCTTACACATTATGACTTTCTTATCTCTCCAGATGACTCCCAAGGAAGCCTTCCGGAATCTTTCTCATAAATTTCATGGCAAGGGGCCAGGCAAAATGAAGCAAGAAAAACGGATGAAGCAATATCAGGAAGAATTGAAGCTGAAGCAAATGAAAAATTCAGATACACCTTCACTTTCAGTGGAGAGGATGAAGGAAGCTCAAGCTCAGCTGAAAACACCTTACCTTGTCCTTAGTGGTCATGTTAAACCAGGGTATGTTCCTTCTTTCCTTGGGTTAATTTACGATCTCTGCTTGTTCGGTTTAACTAAATTTCAGTACAATAACTTAAACAAGTTCACGTATCATATCAGCTACTCAGAATTAGGATGTACTATCTAGTTTCTTCTTCTTTCTTGTACATTCAACGATCTTGGTACATTTTTATGATATAGCTTTACCACTGTTTATAATTTTTTATCATTTACTAATTTAAGTGCTTGTTCATTTCTTTTATGTGATTAATTTCAGGCAAACTAGTGATCCTGCAAGCGGCTTTGCTACTGTTGAGAAGGATTTTCCAGGAAGCTTGACACCTATGATTGGTGATAGAAAGGCAAGTTAATTCTTACCTTGCATTATTATATACATGAAAACCAGTCATGTTTTATTACCGTAAAATCGGTTTTCAGGCATAGTTTTATTTATTTATTAGATGCTTATGATGCTGTAGCTCTTCATTGATGCGGATGATTTCGTTGGTGTGTCAAATTTTTGAACATTTGCTACTTTCAAGTTATTATGTTTAGTTAATCTTTGTTTACCGTTCCAATTCAATAGGTTGAGCATTTCTTGGGAATCAAGCGCAAGGCTGAGCCTGGGAATTCAGGCGCACCAAAGAAGCCTAAAACTTGAAATTTGGCCAGTAAGAAGTTGCGGTAATGCCGATTAACATGATGAGGTTTCGGTTTCTTTGCTCGGAAGTGGGGTCATCGGAATTGGTCATATGATGCAGGTAACACCAACTCAAGTTGTAGACAATCTCAAAACAAACTTTGATTCCAATACCATGTTATGGATAATTCGACTTGTTTTTGTTATGATGTTCTATGGATTCAACGTCGGAAGAAAGAACTTCCTTGTATGGAAAACAAAAAGTTTTGGATAAAATTTTATATGTAATTGATGTATTATCCAAGTGTCAAATGCATCCTATTTATTTCTGATTTATGCTTTGCATCACATTGCAGTTTTCCATTATAAAATTAATAATAATGATTTAGGGATTGCATCACCCCTTGCGGATTCAAATATTATGCATTTGATATAGATATGAATATCAATCAATCCATAAACATATATTATTAAAATCTAATTTATTTTTTTTCTAAAACATGAATTATTGAAAAAATTTATTAAAATTGATTAAAATTTTGGTAGGAGAATAAAATTACAGTTTCTTGAGTCTTGATCTAGTAGTAGCACATGTCATTCAAGAGCATCAGTTACAATTAAGAGTACAACCTAAACTTCTGAAATCTATGATCTAAAGAAACCATCAACAAACGCACAAAAATCTCATATAAAACCTGTGATCCAAGTTTCAACAATGTTGACAATATTTGATTACTTGTGCTAATAATCTCTTGCTACAATCTTGAACTTCCCTGTCTGTTGTTGCTGCAAACAGAAGAAAGCCACATAATCAAAAACAAAACTTCAACAAGCAAACATTGCTCAGAGTCTTACATTTTATGCCTTAATGTTATATACTGCAATAACCATGAATGATAACAGAAAGAAGTAATCCAAATTATACAGAAAACTCAAAAGAGTGTACCTTTTTCCACAACTCAGTGTGGGGGTTGCAAAACCCTGCCACAACAGCACCCTTCTTTCCCTCTGTATATTCAATGCAGAGGTCTTCATTCAATCCACAAGTGACATGAAACTCCAAGCCACATTTGGACTCCGAGCACTCAATAGCACATCCCTTCCTAGTTTTACAAACATAACATTTACCTTTCCATCTCTTCTCAGGCACCCTAGAACAATCGATCATTTCCCTTCCTTCAGGATCCCCAAAGAACACCTCCGAAACCAAAAGAGCACAAACCAGATGATCCCACTTATCGCCCATCACACTCTACTATAATACCCTTACCGCCCTTTGGCAGCAATTAGATATGTATGCACAACATGATTGGGTAGATCCAAGAGATGCTACCCTTTACCAGCAAATTGTCACTCAACAAAGGCTTTTTCAATTCCTCCAAGGCTTAAACAAAGACCTGGACGAGGTTCGCGGCAGGGTCCTAGCTATTTCTCCTCTTCCCTCCCTTCAAGAGGCTTTCTCTATTGTCAAGAAGAAAGAAAGCTGAAGGTGTGTGATGCTGCCTGATGAACCATATTCCCCTACTGAAGGATCTGCCATACTCACCCATCAATCATCTCCCACTTCTAAACGGGGGAGACCTTGGTTTGATCATTGCAAAAAGCCCGACCACTCTAAGGAGAAGTGCTGGAAGCTTCATGGTAAGCCTCAGGACTGGAAGTCCAAAAACTCTCGCAATAATAAATCAAGCCTACTCGCTGCCACATCTGTCACTAGCTTCACCAAAGAATAGATTGTTGAACTTCAAAAGCTGTTTGGAAAGTTTCAGGGGCCTTGTGAGGGTAATCTAGTCATGAAAGAACCAGAAGGTAACCCTTATGCTACAACTTTCTTCTCCTCCCAGTTGACTCCTAGTTGGATCCTCGATTCTGGTGCTACGAATCATATGACTGGTAATAAGGATTTGTTTTGCAATTTTTCCCAAACCTTTGGTAAAGCTGTCAAAACGACTGATGATTCCTTGTGCAAAATAGAAGGACATGGCAATGTTATTCTCAATGAACAGATTGTATTTAAAAATGTTCTCTTTGTACCAAATCTGGCTTGCAATCTCGTTTTTGTTAGTAAACTTTCCATAGACTTGCACTGCTCCGCAATTTTTAATGATATTGATTGTACTTTGTAGGCTCTGAACTCAAGGAAGATGATTGGTAAGGCCAGCTTACAGAATGGTCTCTACATCCTCCCTTCCTCTCCTAAAATTGAGATCTCCAAATCTTTTACCGCTTTAGGAAAAGTTGATATTGTTATGTTATGACACTTTCGTTTACGCCATCCTAGTTGTTGAGTTAATCGATTGATGGAATCGACCAAGAGGGGGTGAATTGGCAATTAAAATTTTGGTGGAAGCTTTTACAGAAAATTGAAAGAAATTGCACAGCGATTTATAGTGGTTCGACTTTCTCAACCAAAGTCTACGTCCACTACATTAGCTATCCACACTAAGGATTTTCCAACAAATTCACTAATTTGTTCTTTCTTTTGAGGCCAAAGAGATAACCTTACAACTCCCTCAAGAATATACCACAATTCTTGAGAACACTCTTTCTCAAAGAGAAGATTACAAATTTGCAAACTTACAAGGAAATCCTCACAAGGTAGATTGTTTGCACAATTCTAGAACAAAGAAAAGAACACTAAAAAATGAATACAATTGAGTACAAGTAGTGTTCTTGAAAGCAAAATGAATATTGAATGAAAAATAGGCTTGAAATGCTCAAACTTGAGGTTTGACGCTTTCTCTTTGATTCTCTCTTGATTCTTGTTGATTGTTGTTTCTTGTCTTTGATCAATGGCTTCTAAGCTTGTTTAAATACACCTTCAAATGATTATGAACGTTGGGGATGCTTAGTGGAGTCAATAGAGCCGTTTAAGTGTGAAAACAATTAATAAATGCAGTTGGGAGCGTCAGTGCATCAATGCATACCCATGGTGCATCGGTGCATCGGTGCATCAGTGTAAAATTCAAATATTTTGACCGTTGGACTCTTAGTGCATCGGTGCACTAAGAGTGCATCGATGCATAAAATGCATTCGATGTTTGAAAAATTAATTTGTGCATCGATGCATGAATTGGTGCATCGCTTTGAAAAATTGATTTTAGGCTTGATTTTGGTTCAAAATACTTTGTGAAAATTGTTTCAAAAATAGTTTAAGTATAAAACACAATTTTACACATTTAGTAAGGTTTGAAATTGATCTTGAAAGACTTGGAGTAATAATTTGATATTCGAGTAATTAAATCGAATATACTTAGAAAATCATTTGTGAAATCTTAAAATTCATTTAATTTAATTTGTTATATCGAAACATCAAAATGTTTTCAACAATCTCCCCCTTTTTGATATAACAAAACATTTGTGTTATTTTAAGATTTTCTAAAAAATTGAAATCAATTTTGAAAAATTACTCCCCCTTACTATAACACTTCTCCCTTTTAAAACATCACTTAACATTTCTCCCCCTTTTTGTTAAATAAAAAAGACTTAAAAATCGATTTAAACAAGGTTTTAAAAAACATTTAGCCAATTGATTAGTAATATATCTTAAGCTGTTAAGATCACAATCAAGAGAAACATTAGCCATTAGTTTCATAATCAACATTCATAATCAAATGTGAAATGACATAATTGGTCATAATGCAACTAATATGAAATTGATGCAAAAATTAATAAATATTAATCTCAAAGTGAAAATTCAAATCAAACCTATATATATATATATATCAAGTTTAAAAACCACAAAGCATCCAAATTATATCTTCAAACAAATTCAAACAATCCAAATAAAAACAATAATCCCCAAAGTATTCAAAATGTTTTAACAATAAAAGTTCAAAGATGATCCAAAACAAAACAAGGTCTACTCGTCCATAGAAGGATCGAGAGGCGGAGGAGGAAATCGGGCTTGCATCTCAAGAGAGAGAGCATCCATACGTGCAAGCATCTCCATTTGAAACTCCATCTGTCGAGCTTCCAAAGTGTCTAAGCGTTGATTTACTGCTTCGTGAGTAGCAGTCAAGTGGGATTCGATGGAAGCATACCGTAGATTAAATGTCTTCAAAAACGAATGAAAATATGGAGGCACTTGATCCTCTTATGGAGCAGGCTCATCATCTGGTACGTGATCGTTGATGTCTTGCATAATTGTTGAAATTCAGGATCATTGTCAGCAGCTGGAGCCGGAGGAGGAGGAGCAACAAAGGAGCTAGGACCAACTCGTGAGGAACTAGCTCCCGGAGTTTGCTTACCGGGTCTAAAGACCCATTGACTGGTTTCCTCGTCTTGTTTCCACTCAGCCTTCTTTAACGAGGTTAGATTGATTGGATTTTGGAGAGGAATGAGATTATCGAGAGAGACGTCTAGACCAAGTTTGATAAAGAGGTTACTATGAAGACATCCATAAACTAATGTTTCTACATGTTTTGAAGGAATAATGTGTAACACCCCCAACCTGTACCTGACCTGGATACGAGTCTGAGGTGTCACATTGACTTTTCAAACTTTGACTCTTGACAAAATTCAAAGAAAATTTAAAACTTTAATTAAAGTAAAAGTAGTTTATTTACATAACTTGACCACAATAACTAAAATTAATCAGAGCATATTAACTCAATCCTTTAGTACATGCCAATTATATTCAAAATAACCAAAAATCATTTAAATCATCTATTTTCTGATCTGAAATTTGTAAGAGAGATGCTGACATGTCTTGCTCTCTTAGATTTTCTTCTAGCTTTTCGGAACCTACGTGTGAAACACTCACACGCTAAGTCGATGACTTAGTGAGGTAAATAAAACTTATAACGCACTTAATAACATTTAACAATGCATGCATGTTTCATTCTATCATGCTATACTAAATCACCTTATTTCATCATAGCATACAAATCATATCAGATTACTTAACAAAATATACCTACATACACATAACATCATATCATTTCTACAACATTTATCATATCACAAACATATATTTGTAGTTATTATCTTATGATTAGCCCATGGACATATGTGAGAACTATAGGTATGTGAGTCTATAGAGGTTGTGCACTATGTTGTCACCACAGCTCGTATAATTGCACCGAAGTGCCAAGTAGAATTACACCGTAGTGCCGCGTAGAATTGCACCGTAGTGCCGCGTAGAATTGCACCGTAGTGCCATATAATAATGTCCATAAGGACCACATATCATTCCTTAAGAATCATATACATATGCTAAGGACCAAATATGTGTCGCCAAGGACCTCATAGATGTTCCATAGGATACCTATATGTCCCAAAGGACCGCGTAGACCCTCGACTCTTGGCATGCCAACTATACCCCAAAGCTCTCAAGGCACATAACATGGGAACTATCTTTTATATCCTTGCACATATTCATGTAAACATATCACATATTCATATAAGCTCATAGCTTCATTCACACATACATATAATCACGTAGTTCATGTCAATTCACAGATATCCCTTAGCTTATATCTTTTGATCATTTAATCATAACTTCTTATCACATATCTCATAGTCATGTCTTCATATATTTATTTCATCACACATGCTCATAGTTTCTGGTCATATTATTCACATTCTCTGACTTATCTCTTATGATATGATAATCACTACACTCATTTCATATAACTTATTACCGCATAATTCACATATAAACACCTAGATCACTTTCACATAGCTTATATAAGTTTTCTGAATCCTTTCATATTACATGATAACATATATCATATAGGTATATAATAACTTATCTCATTTCGTCTACTTTATACTTTATTTCTTTGTATTCCCTTAGATTATATAACTTATGTCGTATTTCTAAACATATATATTACACTTAATCATATTACTTATATTTATTCTCCTATGATTCTTTATAAACCTCTATTTCCATTTCCCTACATCTCTTGACTTATCTTCTATATTCATATAATTTCATAACTTATTTGATATTCTCTCATTAACACTTAATAGTGTTTGTACATAAACCACATAGTACATACAAAACGTATCAATTCATATAATCAAGCATACATACACTCATATTCAACTCATGCCTTTAATCATGAATTCATATGTAACTTTTCAGGAAATAGACTCATCGCAAGTCTTCTTCCCATCACCTATCATATACTACTGAATATGCACTCACCTAGGCCTCGTTTGCTTCGAATCAATCCTAATCCTTAGTTTGTTCCGGAACAAGCTTTCATTCTATATCTACATAATCATAAATTTATACTTATCAGTATACTAATTGATATATTCGAAACTATCACTCCTTAGGCTAAGAGAAAAGCCAATTTCATCTTTTAATGAAGGTATGCATCAATGCACTGCACAGTGTATCGATGCATTCCCTAACGATGCATCGATGCACTACTTGTGCATCAGTGCAAAAAATACATTCGATGTTTTTATTTTAAAGAGTGCATCGATGCACTACCTGTGCATCGATACACCTTCAAACAATTTCTGGGTTTTAACCTTGATGCATCGGTGCACTATGAATATGCATCGATGCACTCTGCCCAAAATCCTCTTTTTGAACCCGAAAATTCATTCTTTTTGGATTAAATCCTTCATATTTCAACCTCTTTCATATTCCTAACTTACATATACATACTTAAACTTATTAATATTCATTTATCTCATCTTTAACCTTAATATCCTCTCCTCTTTAAGAACTTCAAGAATCATACCCTATTTTCCACATGTTTCAAATCCAATTCTAACACTTAATACTTCTTAATTAAGCTGATGACAAGTCAAATTTAGTTTTAAATTCAACTTATCAACTCTTTACCGAAAATTCACTTAAAAACCCATTCTCTTTAATTCTTCATAACTTCTTCATCTTTTGATTTTAGGACAATCTAAACTTTCCATAAGCTTAAATATTACCTAAGGATCAAAACCCACTCTTAAAATTAACAAATAATCAGCTAACCAGGAATCTTACCTTTGCCTTGGAGCTTTCACGGGAGGAAGAAGAAGATGAAGAAGAAAAAGAGAGAAGAGATTTTAGGAAAAAAATCTATCATCCTTATCCATATATATAATTATTTAATTCATCTCTTGGTCAAATCCTTTTGCCCTTTAATATCTTTTATAATTACTAGCATCCTTAACGTAATATCTTCAAATAAATCACTGAACTTTTCAACTATTCCACTATAATTACCAAATTCTGAAATATTACAATTTGGTCACTAACCCGATATTAAGGATGTTACATAATGTTTATGATATCTACTAGTTGACTAAAAATAATATGGGGCAGATTTATTTTGATTTTTTTCTTAATACAATACATCCACCATAAATCCCTAGTACGAAGAGTGGAGTACCTACTAGCAGATGGTCGAAACCACCACGAGATTATCAAATGAAGAAAACGATCGTGATGAGAACAAAGGGTACTAACACTAGCGTTTGGAATATAAGGATAATCCACATTTTCATTTTCATTATATAAACCATCATCATATAACCCAAAACGTGAGGCTATAGTCGTGGGGTCAATATTAATATATTGGCCTAAGACATAGGATCTAATAGCAATAGTCCCACATTGAGTATCATTTTGAATGCACACCGCATTAGAATAGAAAATACGGACTAACTGATGAAAAACGACAGGTTTGAGACGAAACAATTTATCAAACTTCCAAGATTTAAGAATTGAGAGGTATTCAAAATCAATGTCAATCATGGCTGGAAGAGAAGGAATATGCTCTTCCCGGATTCTATAGGATTGGAAAGACTCTATATACCTATGGTACAGGTCATCTCTACGACGTTCAGGCATGTTGAAACAAAGTCCTATAAGACTATTAGGAGGAGGAGGAATGGGATTTGGAGGTTGGTTTGAACGAGAATGACTCGATGAGGTTCTAGGGCTTTTGGGATTAGACATGGTTTAGGAATCGGAAAAAGGAATGTATCCTGCAATATGAAACACATGTACGCACAATAATCAATCCCAAAACTCAATTGAGTCCTCAATAATTCAAGGTTCTCTAAACCAAATCATAATGGGCAAGGTTTTGAAAAACTATTTGAAAATAATATTTGTAAATAATATGTATAGTTTTTCAAAACAACATAATTAAATCAAAAACATCAAATTTAGAAATTAAATTTAGATTTTCGATTTTTTTTTTGAAAATTCACAAATTCATTGAAAATTTGCGAGTTTCTTGATGAAATTAGTAGTAAAAACTAGTTTGTAATCATCAAACTATCAATGCCCAATATAATATTCATCCTAGAACTAATTAAAACTAGTCCTAAGATCAAAAATCAATAAAATGGAGTTTTTGAAATATTACCTTGAAAATTTCGGATTTGAGAGGAATGTGATGTTGTTTTGCACGATTTGATGATAAATGCAGGATTAGGAGTTGAAAAACTCGAAGATTCTGACAAATTTTCATTGATTTTGAGCAAGAGGAGAGTTTAGGGAAGAAAAGAGGCGTACAGCTAGAGAGGGTTTAGTTTTAGGGTTTGAAACAAATAAGAAAATAAGCCTTTTAAATCCAAAACCCGACGGATGCATCGATACATGACCCTGTGCATCGATGCACATTCAAGGCGTGCATCAGTGTATCAACATGATGAATCAATGCACATTCAAAGGGATGCATCGATGCACTGTTAAGTGTATCGATGCATGAAGCACAAAAATGTCAAAAATCCGTTTTAAACACTTAAAATGCTAAATTAATTAGCTCTATTGGTATTGGCAACTCATATATTGAAAATTAATCATGTTCAATCAATCAAATTAATCTTTAAACAATTTTTGAATATAAAATTAATTTTCACCAAATAACATAAACTCCCCCTAACTAATAGCAATGAATGCAATCAAAAATTACCATTATAAGCATTTTTCATTTATTCTTAAAAGTGCTAAAATTATTTTAAACACTAAGTGAAGATAGGTCAGTTAAACCTAATTCTCTCCTAAGTGTCCAAAATCTTTCCTTGTCTAAAGGTTTTGTAAAGATATCCGCTAATTGATGCAAAGTATCAACAAAATCTAGAAATACATCTTCCTTAGTGACATGGTCTCTAATGAAGTGATGTCTTATTTCAATGTGCTTAGTTCTAGAGTGTTGGATGGGATTTTTAGTGAGACAAATAGCACTAGTATTGTCACAACAACTACCGACTGAAATGTATTCTGCTTCAGTGGTAGATAATGCAACACAATTTTGTTTCTTTGAAAACCAAGAAATCATCATATTTCCAAGGAATTGGCAAGTACCGGAGGTGCTTTTCCTATCTAATTTGCATCCTCCATAATCCGCATCAGAAAAGGCATGCAAGCTAAAGCTAGAGTCTCTAGGATACCAAAGTCCTAAACTAGGAGTGTTCTTAAGGTATCTAAAGATTCTCTTAACATCTAGTAAATGTGATTACTGAGGACAAGATTGAAATCTAGCACACAAGCAAACACTAAACATAATATCCGATCTACTTGCGGTTAGATAAAGCAAAGAACCAATCATTGACCTATATAATTTAACATCCACACATTTACCTCCTTTATCTATGTCAAGCTTTGTTGATGAGCTCATTGGAGTGTCATGAGGTTTCCCATTTTCCAGTCCAAACTTCTTGAGCATATCTTTGACATATTTAGCTTGATTGATGAAGATGTCATCTTTTCTTTACTTGATTTGGAGTCCCAAGAAAAATGAGAGCTCCCCCATCATGCTCATCTCAAATTCACTTTGCATTAGCTTAGAAAATTCTTGGCAAAGAACATCATTAGTAGAACCAAATATTATATCATCAACATAAATTTGAACTACCAATAGATCTTTACCTTTATGCTTTAAAAACAATGTAGTGTCAACCTTCTCTTTTGAAAAACCTTTTTCAATTAAAAAATATGTCAATCTTTCATACCAAGCTCTAGGAGCTTGTTTTAAACCATAAAGCGCTTTTGTCAATTTAAGAACATGATCCGGAAATTTTGAATCTTCAAAACCTGGAGGTTGTTCTACATACACTTCTTCTTTTATAAAACCATTTAAAAATGCACTTTTAACATCCATTTGATAAAATTTAAATTCATGAAAACATGCAAATGCTAATAACATTCTAATTGCTTCCATTCTAGCTATGGGAGCGTATGTTTCATCATAGTCTATGCCCTCTTCTTGAGTGTAACCTTGAGCAACAAGTCTAGCCTTGTTCCTCACTATATTACCACTTTCATCAAGCTTATTCCTAGATACACATCTAGTACCTACAGTAGATTTATTACTAGGCCTTTCAACTAATGTCCATACTTTACTTCTCTCAAATTGATTTAACTCTTCTTGCATAGCCATAATCCAATGTTCATCATTTAATGCTTCTTTAATATTCTTAGGCTCAATGCATGAGATAAATGCAACATAATTACATATATTTCTAAGAGAAGATCGAGTTGTTACCCCTTTGGATGGATCACCTATGATTTAACATCCTTGACATAGTTATACTCTCTTGGATAAGATACTTCTCTTTCTTCAATGGTTGGATTCTCGAGAGGATCATGAGTTTCCTCATTTTTTGTTTCTTCCTTTGATGATGGTTCTCCAACGTCATGTCTAACGTCATTTGTATTTATAACACCTACATCATCATTCACACAAGAATCCTTCCTCAGAAGGAGGTTATCATCGAAAACAACATGTATAGACTCTTCTACAACTAAAGTTCTTTTATTAAATACTCGATAAGCTTTAGAATTTAAGGAATAACCCAGAAAAATTCATTCATCACTTTTAGCATCAAATTTGCCAAGATTGTCTTTACCGTTGTTTAAAACAAAACATTTACATCCAAAAGTATGAAAATAGCTAATTTTAGGTTTTTTATTTTTGAAAAGTTCATATGGAGTTTTCTTTAAAATAGGCCTAATCATTACTCGATTAATAACATAACAAGCGGTATTTGTGGCTTTCGCCCAAAAATATTTTGGCAAATTGTTTTCACAAATCATGGTTCTAGCCATTTCTTCTAAAGTTCAATTTTTCCTCTCAACAACTCTATTTTGTTGAGGGGTTCTAGGTGCTAAAAATTATGGCTAATACCATTAGAATCACAAAACTTAGTAAATCCAAGATTTTCAAATTCAGTTCCATGATCACTCCTAACACTAGTTATAGAGTAACCTTTTTCATTTTGGATTACTTTTGAAAACGTGATGAAATTTTCTAATGCTTCATCTTTAGTACTTAAAAATAGAACCCAAGTGTATCTAGAATAGTCATCTACCAAGACAAATGCATATTGTTTTCCACCCAAGCTAGTAGTCCTAGTTGGTCCAAAAAGATCAATGGATCAATTGTAATACTCTACTAGTTGATACATCATTAATGGATTTAAAAGAAACTCGCTTTTGTTTTTCTTTAGCACAAGCATCATAGATTTTTTCATTATCAAATTTTAGTTTAGGCAACCCTCGAACTAAATCACCTTGAATTAGCCGATGCAAAACACTCATACTAGCATGTCCTAGTCTCTTGTGCCATAACCAACTATCATGCTCATCCTTAGCAACTAGGCATAAATTAGTCATAACAATAGAGTCTAAATGCACCATGTAAATGTTTCCTATTCTATGACCAACAAGCATAATTCGATTAGATGCAATGTCAATAACTTTACAACCATTAGTTTCAAACATGACATTGAATCCCTTATCTCAAAATTGACTAATACTCAAGAGATTATGCTTTAATCCATTCACATATAAAACATTTTTAATTTGTATGGAAGAGGTATTACCTATAGTACCTATACCTTCAATGTGACCTCTTGAATCATCACCAAAAGTCACTTCTCCTCCATCTTTGGCGTTAAGCTCAATGAACCGGCTTTTGTCTCCGGTCATGTGCCTCGAGCATCCACTATCAAGGTACCATGAATTTGAATTTGTTTCCCATACCTTGTAGCAATGCTCCTTTTCCTACACACATAGATTAATTTTTGATTTTTGGTACCCAAATTCTTTTGGGTCCATATTCATTAGTTTCCAAAATCCTAGTCCCCTTAGGTATCCATTTGTGTAGGATATCATTATCTTTAGTAGTAATGAGCTCTTTAGGAACCCATATACTTCTAACAATTTTTCCATTAGAGGTTCTTCGGGGACCTTTATGATTGTGGTTTTTAAAACTTTTTATAACAAAGTTGGATTTTGAATTTTCTCCTTTTTCAAAAAGTTTTGTTCCAACTTTATCAAAAGAAGCTTTAAGATCATCAATTTTCTTTTGATGATCATCATTGACCTTTGAAAGTAAATTTTGCAAATCCGAATTTTTCTTTTCAAACTCTTCTAGTTTGATTTACAAATCTTTGATTTTACTTTCAAGATCGTTGTTGGTTTTGGATATGAGTTTATTTTTATTTTTCAATTTTGAAATATCATTTTTATATTTTAAAAACAATTTCTCATAATCCGAAACCAACCCATTATATTCCTCTAATAGCTCATCATAAGATAAATCATCAAAATCTGATGAGTTAGAGGTTACCTTAGAATCTTCCCCGAATGCCATCAAGCACAAGTTTGCTACTTCTTGTTCCTCTTCATCAGAACCTTCTTCATCGCTCCATGTAGCCACATGAGCCTTGTGCTTATTCTTTGATTGACCTTTTCTCTTCAATTGTGGGAAATAATATTTGACATGCCCCGGCTTTTTGCATTCATAGCAAATGATCGGGTCCTTCTCTTTTGGTTCATTTTTTAGGCCTTTATTTCGTTTGAATTTTCTTCCTCGGTAAGGTCTCATCATTTTTCTGAACCGTTTGGCAAACAATTCCATTTCCTCGTCATCGTCATCTTCATCCGAATCACTCTCATCTTTGTGGATTTGAGAGCAACTCCAATGTTTTTCTCTTCTTCTCCTTCTCCTTCGATGTCTCTTCAATCTTATTGAGGTCTACCTCATCTTCAAGCATCATTTCATGAACTAGGAGAGAACCGATTAACTCTTCAAGAGTTAAGGACTTTAGGTTCTTAGCCTCGATGATTGTCGTCTTCTTGGATTGCCATGATTTTGGAAGTGGGTAAACTAACTTCCTCACAAGCTTCTCGTTTGGAATGATCTCTCCATATGATTTGAGACCATTGAGAATAGTTGAGAATCTATCCGTCATAGCTTTGATATCTTCATTTGGTTTCATCCTGAAATTTTCATAGCTATGTGTTAGAAGACTAATTTTAGATTCTTTTACCTCGTCGGTGCCTTTATGAGTAACTTGTAATTTATCCCATATTTCTTTGGCGGTTGTACAAGATGAAACTCTTCCATATTCATCTGGTCCAAGAGCACAAAATATGATATGGATGGCTTTGGAGTTGAGTTGGAACATTCTTGTCTCTCCTTCACTCCACAATCTTGGATGAGTGAGAGGTTTGATATATCTGTCTTCTACAATATTCCATGCTCCCATGTCACTTGCTTGAATGAAATACATCATTCTATTCTTCCAATAGGAATAGTTAGCTCAATTGAAGAAATGAGGCTTGTTGACGGGCATTGAATCAAGACCGGAGTCGACGTTTGAAGTGGAGGCCATTGATGGCTTGATTATCGATGTAACTCTTCCCGAATCAACTCAAGAGGCGATTAAACCTTCAAATGAGTGAGGCTCTGATACCAATTGTTGAGTTAATCGATTGATAGAATCGGCCAAGAGGGGGGTGAATTGGCAATTAAAATTTTGGTGGATGTTTTTACAGAAAATTTAAAGAAATTGCACAGCGATTTAAAGTGGTTCGACTTTCTCAACCAAAGTCTACGTCCACTACCTTAGCTATCAACACTAAGGATTTTCCAACAAATTCAATAATTTTTTTTTTCTTCTTTTGAGGCCAAAGAGATAACCTTACAACTCCCTCAAGAATATACCCCAATTATTGGAACACTCTTTCTCAAAGAGAATATTACAAATTTGCAAACTTACAAGGAAATCCTCACAAGGTAGATTGTTTGCACAATTCTAGAACAAAGAAAAGAACACTAAAAAATGAATACAATTGAGTACAAGTAGTGTTCTTGAAAGCAAAATGAATATTGAATGAAAAATAGGCTTGAAATGCTCAAACTTGAGGTTTGATGCTTTCTCTTTGATTCTCTCTTGATTCTTGTTGATTATTGTTTCTTGTCTTTGATCAATGGCTTCTAAGCTTGTTTAAATACACCTTCAAATGATTCTGAACGTTAGGGATGCTTAGTGGAGTCAATAGAGCTATTTAAGTGTGAAAATAATTAATAAATGCAGTTGGGAGCGTCAGTGCATCGATGCATACCCATGGTGCATCAGTGAAAATTCAAATATTTTGACCGTTGGACTCTCAGTGCATCGGTGCACTAAGAGTGCATCGATGCATAAAATGCATTCGATGTTTTGAAAAAGCCTGAGTGCATTGATGCATGGTCTTGTGCATCGATGCATCAAATGCACTGAGTGCATCGATGCATGGTATGTGCATCGATGTATAAAATGCATTCGATGTTTGAAAAATTAATTTGTGCATCGATGCATGGATTGGTGCATCGGTGCATCACTTTGAAAAATTGATTTTAGGCTTGATTTTGGTTCAAAATACTCTGTGAAAATTGTTTCAAAAATATTTTAAGTATAAAACACAATTTTACACATTTAGTAAGGTTTGAAATTGATCTTGAAATACTTGGAGTAATTAAATCGAATATACTTACACAATTTTACACATTTGTTATATCGAAACATCAAAATGTTTTCAACACTAGTTTTCAATACATTGCTAAATTGTTTCTTGCTCTATTCATTAATAAAAGACCAAATTCATTTTCTTGCAAAGTTTGCTCTTTTTCCAAACATACTAAATCATCTTATTTTACTTCTACATACAAGCCTTCTCACCCTTTTATTTTGATCCATAGTGATGTTTGGGGCCCTTCTCGGGTGAAGAATGTTGATAATTGTAAGTGGTTTACCACTTTCATTGATGATCACAGTGGGATAACTTGAACTTATTTGCTAAAAGATAAATCTGAAAATGCTAGTGTTTTGCCCAATTTATAACATGGTTCTCACTCAATTTGGGTAAAAAATCCAACTCTATAAATATAATAACGGCAGTGATTTTTTTGCTAGGTCTTTAGGTGATTTTTTCAGGGAAAAGGGCATAGTTCAACTTAGTTCTTGTATTGAAACCCCACAGCAAAACGACATTGCCGAAAGAAAAAATAGGCATGGATGTACTATTTTTATCCAAATCATTGCTCCTAATAAGTCCAAGTTAGATCCTAAGTCTTTAAAATGTGTTCTGGTTAGGTATTATTGACTTAAGAAGGGTTATAAATGCTATCATCCTCATTTTAAATGATTTTTTATTCTACATGGATTTTATTTTCCTTGTTTTCTTCTTCTTGCCTAGTTTTGATGTATTTGGGGGGATAATTTTCACATGGGGTTTTCTTGCTTCTATCCAAAATCTCATTTTAAGCATCCAAAGTGCATATTTTGGGATTTTTACAAATTAGGTTTCTACTATTTTCCTCTGGTTCTACTTTCTTCTCTTACTCAACGTTCAAATCAAAAGGCAAAAGAGGCTTAATAGAATCAAAATTAGGTTAAAAAGCCCATATTCTTTTTTTTGGGGCAAGCAATACGTTTTGAAGTTGGTGGGAAGAGAAGCTAGGAACTGTGCAAATCTTTTGTTTTTGATTTCGTTTATTTTCGATTTGTGGCGGAAAATGAAAAGAAAGTCATATGGGAATAAACTATACTTTTAGTCACCTAACTTTTCATGTGTCTATTTTGGTCATTCAAATTTTCTTTAAATAAGGGGTAAATTTCACCATTCCTCACTGAACTATACTCTCTTTCCTATTTTACTCACTGTAGTTTTAATTTTTCAAATTTACTTATTGAACTTTCGAAATATTTAAAGAAGGTTTTTTCAATTTCTCCAAGGCTTAAACAAGGACCTGAACGAGGTTCGCGGCAGGGTCTTAGTTATTTCTCCTCTTCCTTCCCTTTGAGAGGCTTTCTTTATTGTCAAGAATGAAAAAAGCCGAAGGTGTGTGATGCTGCCTGATGTGATCATTGCAAAAAGCCCGACCACTCCAAGGAGAAGTGTTGGAAGCTTCATGGTAAGCCTCAGGACTGGAAGTCCAAAAACTCTCGCGATAATAAATCAAGTGTAGGTATTGCCACATCTGTCAGTAGCTTCACCAAAGAACAAATTATTGAACTTCAAAAACTGTTTGGAAAGTTTCAGGGGCTTTGTGAGGGTAATCTGGTCATGAAAGAAGCAGAAGGTAACCCTTATGCTACAACTTTTTTCTCCTCCCAGTTGACTCATAATTATATCCTCGATTCTGGTGCTACAAATCATATGACTGGTAACAAGGCTTTGTTTTGCAATTTTTCCCAACCTTTGGTAAAGTTGTCAAAACGAATGATAGTTCCTTGTGCAAAATAGAATGACATGGCAATGCTGTTCTCAATTAACATATTGTACTTAAAAAATTTCTCTTTGTACCAAATCTTGCTTGCAATCTCGCTTCTGTTAGTAAACTTTCCGCAGACTTGTATTGCTCCGTAATTTTTAATGATATTGATTATACTTTGCAGGCACTGAACTCGAAGAAGATTATTGCTAAGGCTAGCTTGCAAAATGGTCTCTACATCCTCCATCCCTCTCCTAAAACCGAGCTCTCCAAATCTTTCACTGCTTTAGGAAAAGTTGATAATGTTATGTTATGGAACTTTCGTTTAGGCCATCCTAGTTTCCAATACCTTGCAAAATTGTTTCCTGCTCTATTCATTAATAAAAGGCCAAATTCTTTTTCTTTTGAAGTTTGATCCCTTGCCAAACATACTAAATCATCTTGTTTTCCTTCTACATACAAGCCTTCTCACCCTTTTGCTTTGATCCACAGTGATATTTGGGCCCTTCTCGGGTGAAGAATGTTGATAATTGTAAGTGACTTATCACTTTCATTGATGATCACAGTAGGATAACTTAGACTAATTATTTACTAAAAGATAAATCTGAAACTGCTGGTGTTTTTATCCAATTTTTTAACATGGTTCTCACTCAATTTGAGTCTAAAATCAAATTCTTTAAATCTGATAATGGCAGTGATTTTTTTGTTAGGTCTTTGGGTATTTTTCAGGAAAAATACATAGTTCAACTTAGTTCTTGTGTTGGAACCCCACAACAAAACAACATTGCCAAAAGAAAAAATAGACACCTCTTTGAAGTTAATTGTTCTATTCTATTTACCACTAATGTTCCTAAATATTTTTGGGGAGTCTTATTAACTACCACATATTTAATCAACCGAATGCCTAGTAAGGTTTTACAATTTCAAGCACCTCAATCTATATTTTTGCAACACTTTCCCCATTTTAAACCCATCTCCTCTATTCTTTCACTTAAAATCTTTGGATGTATTCTTTTTATCCAAAACATTGCTCCTAATAAGTCCAAGTTAGATCTCGAGTCTTTAAAATGTGTATTGGTGGGGTATTCTTCACTTAAGAAGGGTTATAAATGCTATCATCCTCCTTCTAAACGATTTTTTATTCTACACGATTTTTTACCACTATGGATATAACATTTTATGAGTAGGATCCCTATTTCACTCAGTCTAAAATTCAGGGAGAGACATGGAAGGAATTTCAACCACATTAGGCATCTTCTCATAATCTTCATTCTCAACCTTTAAAATTGCCACCATTTTTGCCTTTACCTACAAATTTGTCACCCGTGAATACTCCCATTGATTCTCCTATAATACCTATCACTAATTAACCTACACCTACTTTAAACACCCTTCCTGAAAATACATCTACTTCTATTGAAAGTCTTCTAAAAACACCACCACCCAAATAGCTTCATGTCTACACAAGGAAAATAAAACATATCCCTGTGGTTGTTTTGTAAACTAATTTTTTTCGAGAATTGGATTTGGGTCCAGCTGGCAAAATGGAAGAAGAAGTTAGTAAGTCTACTTCTCCTACTCTAGATGACTTCCCTATTGCTATTAGAAAAGGGGCTAGACAGTGCACCAAGCATCATATTGGAAAATTTGCTGGTTATAATTCATTGATGCCTTCTTTTCAAGCATTTACAACAACCTTGGATAAAAAACAAGTTCCCACAAGCATAGTGGAAGCTCTAAAGGATCCAAAATGGAGAAGGGTTGTTGAAGAGGAAATTTGTGCACTATAGAAAAATGCTACTTGGACCGTTACAAACCTTCCTCAAGGAAAAAAAGGTTGTTGGTTGTAAATGGATATTTGTTGTAAAGTATAACTCCAATGGTAGTATCCAACGATACAAAGCTAGACTAGTGGCTAAAGGCTTTACGCAAACATGTGGGATAGATTTCACATAAACTTTTGCACTTGTGGCAAAACTTAACATTGTTCTAGTACTCCTAAGTTTGGTTGTAAATTGCGATTGGAAATTACACCAACTTGATGTAAAAAACGCATTTCTTAATGGCAAGCTATAGGAATAATTCTATATGAAATTGCCACCTGACTTAAAGTCTGTTGAAGGTAGCAACAAGGTTTGCAAGCTCAACAAGTCTCTATACGGGTTAAAACAATCACCCAAAGATTGGTTCGAGAAGTTCACTAAAGTCATTCTTAAAAACGGCTACAAGCAGTCCCTCGTCGATCATACTCTTTTCATCAAGGTAACTTCTACAAATAAGAAAGTTATTCTAATTGTGTATGTGAATGACATAATTCTTACTGTAGATGATGAGGAAGAGATTAACAATTTGAAGAAGTTGTTAAATAGGGAACTAGAACGTGAATGACACATTGTGTGTGTGATATAATCTTAGTGTGTGGGTAAATATCATAGTTTGATATGAAATTCAACAAACAATAACATCTCAATTAATTCCTTCATAAACTAAAAATACGGTTACAATTGATGAAATAATATCATAGGTTTAGAAACAAAATTTTCTAATTGTATTTTTACCTGCATAACGTATTTTTACCTAGGTAACATATTTTCACTATTTTCATCATGAACCTACATATTCATCTTTATTTACAAAATAAATATTTTCAAAATTTTCTAAAAATTAAAATATAAGGTAAATTACGCATTTAATACCTAAACTATCAGTTTTGATTTATTTTAGTACTTAAACTTTCAGTTTTTTTCAAAATCATACATAACGTTTAGTTTTCATTTCATTTTAGTATCTCGTTGTTAAAAACTTAACGCATTTAGTACCTAAACTATCAATTCTGGTTCGTTTTAATACCTAAACTTTCAATTTTTTTCAAAACTTAACATTAAATTTTAAACGGTGTATTAAAATGAAACAAAAACTAAAATTTTAAACGGTGGGGTTACTAAAATGAAACAAAAAACTAAATTTTAGGTGTATATTTGAAAAAAAAGTAAAAGTTTAAATATTAAAATAGATTAAAACTAATAGTTTAAAAATTAAACGTGTAATTTATCCTAAAATATACGAAGAGAGAGATTATTTATAATTTTCTCTCCTCCTCATCTTTGAAAGTTTGGATTCTATCAATATCAAACAGGCCCAAATAAACCAAAATGCCCTCTATAACGACCCCAATGTATGTACTAAAAGTCTGTATTTATTTATTAGATATCGAATATAATGAGATCTGAAGCAGACCCAAAATTTAAAGGTGATCAATTTTCAATGCCCAAGTGCAGGCTGCTGAGCTTTTTCCCTAATCACAGGCGCAGTCACAGTCACAGTCACAGTCACCTTGCGCTGCCATTAATGCTCCTTTAGATCTCTTCCGCGAGAAAATTTCAGTACCTTGAATTATTCAAATTTTGTTAGCTTTGATTTAAAAGCTTTCAATATATATACGAGTTTGGGTAAAATTGGTGAGATAATGTAAATGAGTTTTTTTTTTAATTTTTAATATAATTCATTTCGAGGATTATTTTTCTATATAGGATGGATTATATAGTATCAACCTAAAGACGTCAGGTGTTCCACACGTCTTCAAACTAAATATGAAGACTCTACGACTTTATGACGTATTCAGACAAATGAAGAAGACTTAGAAGTGTACGACGTTTTCAAACCAATAGAAAAACCTAGTTTAAGAAATAATATGGTAGATACATTATATAGAAAAATAATTTTTCCCAAATCTTATATGAGAGAGTAAGCCCACGAGTTTGGGGATGATATCAGGTTAATTAAGACAATAGAATGATGTTTTTAGGGGTGTGTAAAAACACATATTTGATTGATTTTATTCATTGATTTGTTGATATGATTTGAAAATTTGATTTTTTTTAATTTTGAATCATTTGAATCAAATATTCTAGAAAAACGAATAATTAGATCATTTAAATTCCCATCAGATTATGCAAAAATCTAGAAAAAAATAACCCTTTACAGCCCGTTTGGTTCACGGATTTCTTCATTCCTAGGAGGAATTTTTTTTCCCGGATTAAGATACCCATGTTTGAATAGGCCATATTCCCAAGTGAGGGTAAAAACTAAATACCAACAGTGGTTTTTTTTTTGTTCTGTTTAACTGCGAATCCAAATACCATATCTCCCTTAGGTATTTGTTTATTCCCGTCCTGTTGGCTAAATTACCCTTCTTCCCGTTAGCTTGGTTCTGGCTGAAACAAAATTTCTTCTTCTTCGATTTGGCGAGAGTTGCGAAGATATGTCTATTACTGCTCCAACGAACTTTTTCTGTGGTGCTCTAGCTCTATCTGCTAATCTGTTGTTAGGTTTGTCTACTTTGCTTCTGGTTCGTTCAGCGTTTGTCCTCCCCCCTCCCTCAGTTCCTTACCTTAGGGTACTTGTTTTTGTTTTCAATTAAAAAATTGAACTTTTTTTTTGTTTTTTGGGTTTTAGCTGGCGCTGTCGATTGGAATGTGGGGCAGCTAGCAGTGGATTTATTAGTAGCATCAATGAAAGCTGAGAGAATTGGATACTTAGATGATCTCTTTGTGCTTCCCTGCGTTGGAAACGATGCTTATACCATATTCCTTGCGGCGACCTTGCTCTTCCTCTCGAAGGTGCTCACTTTATTCCCCCCTTTCATATTGTTTGTTATAGTAAGCTTGGACTAATATATTAGAACTTGAGTACGTCATTTCTTGATCTTTCAGCTTACGAGTCGTCTTTCAGTCATCTCACTCTTCTCCAGCAGTAGTCTCTGGTTGTTTCGATTATATTTTCTTGTTGCAAGTATGTTCTGTTGCCATGACCTTCTGAGATGGTTAACATTGAATAATCATCATCGATTTAAGGTCGTTTTACTACTGAAAACTGAACTAGAAGGATAACAACCATTGAATTTACTTGTAAACTGCTTGTTATTTTTTATTTGTCGTTATTAGAAAGCAACTGTGTTAACTAAATGATTAGTCAATTCAATACAGGGAACCCCATTAATAAATTTTTTTGAATTTATATAGTTAAGTGCCTGGATTGGTGTCCTATGCTAATGGATTCTTTTCTTTCAATTACCTTCTTGAAGCAATGAATGACTACTTTTAGATCGAGTGCTGGGTCATTTCTGATTGTCCTGACTGAGGGATCACAATGCCATTTGAAATTCAATTGTGAACTAACTGTATCCTTTTGCCATTGTTAAAATTTGTCTTCCAAATAATTTCTCCCCCTTCATTTTCAAGCTATACAAAACTTGAATGTAGATTGAATGATTTGATCTTTGAATGGTCATTCCAAACAGGGGCGAATGGTTGAATTTGCCAAATACTTGGCAAATTTTGCTGCTGTAAGATGAAAGAATCATGTTGTTATGCTTTCTAGCTTGGATTTTGGAAAGTGGTAAAAAAATTGACATGTCAAGGTAGTTCATCCTGAATTTTTCTGCTGTTAGTTCATGTTACCATATGTTGGGGGCAGTAAGTCATTCCTTGGAAATATACTTCTATTCTGGGATATAACCTTGGCAACTGGCAATGTGGTTTCAGTGGTCTGCAGATACAATTCTTATTTTACAACTGCAAATGATGGAGATTGTATGTCGATCTTTTTTGATTTTGAATTTAGAATATGGTCCCAACTTTTTTGTCTAGCTTCACTAGGTATATGTGAAGCTTTTGACTTGGAGAATTTTTTGTGTATATAATATAACCAACATATATGATTAAGTTTAGAATGTCATGACTATTATCTTTTGTAAGTCTAAACATTGTTGTTGTTTTTGATGGTTAATGTTATACTTATTTTTGTTCTGTAAGCTAAACAAAGAACGTAAGCTTATCTCTTATCCTTCAGTTTGCACTTTTACTTAATTATGTTCCGAACACCTATTTACTTCTCAATTTTCATTCTTTATACCAGGTTGATCCTTATTCCATGTAAGCCTGGTTTAAATTGTTTTACTAAATTGGGATGACATAGCATTCCCTGGAATGGGATGAACAAGAAATAGAAGCATTATATGTGCTTTTAAAAGATGGATTAATTGTTACCTCGACAATGTTAAAAATAAAATTGGGAATGGTTGCTAATACTAAATTATTCTAAACTGAATTCGGATTAAATGCAAGAAATTGAAAAATCTCAGTTTCATTTTGTATAGAAAAGGACTGGTATGGATTTAGCACCAAGTCAATCTGCATTGATTAGTGCTTTTAGACTTTTGATCAATTTCCATGCAAATCTCATGCATGCATGCCTGTAAACGCATCTAGGGCCGCGTTTAGCAGCAAAGTTTGAAGTTTTAAGCACATTACGTTCCCTATATAAACGCTTTTCAATCAGGGATTATTCACGGTTATCTGCTGTAATTCGGAAGCTTTTTCTCTAATGGCTTCTGTAATCTCCACACTGACACTTTCTAATATTCTACTCATTCTGCTGCTTTCCAGTTGTGTTGCCAATGCTCAGCTTTCTGCCAACTTCTATGCAAACTCTTGCCCTAACCTTCAAACCATCGTCCTCAATGGGATGACGCAGGCCGTTAATAGAGAGGCGCGAATCGGTGCCTCGATTCTCCGTTTGTTTTTCCATGACTGCTTTGTTAATGTAATGATCTTTGTCTATTGGTTTCGAAACATCGAGTTGTAAGATGTATGCATTGTTAATGGTGCTGATATATGGTATTTGTTATTGTTGATGCAGGGCTGTGATGCATCGATACTGCTGGACGACACTTCGACGTTCACCGGAGAAAAGAATGCGGCACCGAACCGGAACTCGGCTCGAGGTTACGAAGTGATTGACACCATCAAGTCTAATGTGGAGGCTGTTGGAAATAAAACGCTCACACAAGCAACTTTTATTGAAGCTCAAAGAAATATTACAAGAACACTCCCACTCAAAAACAAGAACTACAACTCACTCTTATAAGACTTTGCTTCTTCACTCACTTAGAAGCTATTGATTTTTCTTGATGCTTAAAACTAAAATGGGAAGGGGTATTTATACTACTCAAGAACAATCCTACACCACACAAATAAACTAATTTAAACTATTACAAATTCAACAAATATCTAACTCTCACCTAACTAAATTGATGTAAGCAATGACATCATTAATTAAATGATGTAAGCAATGACATCTTTAATTAAATGATGTAAGTAATGACATCAATTTAGTTTGGGTTTGGGTTTAGGCTCTCATAATGGATCAAGTTTATGATCCAACACCCTCCCTTAAACTTGATCTCGTGACCCCTAGTAGGTTCCTTAATCTTAAGAAGTCTTCGTTGGTCAGTGGCTTGGTAAAAATATCAGCAACTTGATCTTGTGACTTCACATATTCAACTTCCACATCTTTTCTTGCAACACACTCCCTTATATAGTGGTAGCGAATATCAATGTGCTTGCTTCGATCATGGAATACTGGATTCTTCGCTAAGGCAATGGCTGACTTGTTGTCGACACAAACCTTGGTAGGCTCTTCTTGTATCAAACCAATCTCCTTCAATAGATTTCTAAGCCAAATTGCATGACAAACACATGAGGTAGCAGCAACATATTCCGCTTCACAAGTGGACAATGTGACAATCGGTTGTTTCTTGACATCCATGTGAATGCAATATCTCCCATGAAAAATACGAATCCAGTAGTGCTCCTCGATTATCTATGTCTCCACCCCAATCACTGTCGCTATATCCAACAAGCTTGTAATCATTAGAAACTGAATAGAACAAGCCAAAGTCAATTGTACCTTTCAGATAGCGAAGAATTCTCTTTGCAGCTTTAAAATGGGTGGTTGTTGGGGATTCCATGTAGCGACTAACCAATCCAACTGCGTGAAGAATATCGGGTCTCGTGCAAGTTAGATAGCGTAGACTTCCTACCAAACTTTTGAAGAATGTTGGATCTACACTTTCGCCTTCTTCATGTTTGGTCATCTTGATCCCGTATTCTGCCGGTGTGCTTATTGGCTTACAGTTCTCCATCTTGAACTTCTTCAGTATCTCCTTTGCATAGCTTTCCTGTGAAATGAAAATTCCATCATTTTGTTGCTTAACTTCAATGCCAAGGTAGTACGCCATGAGCCCCATGTCTGTCATCTCGAATTCTTTCATCATCACATCCTTGAATTCATTAAACATGCTTGGGTTGCTTCCAGTGAAGATCAAATCGTCCACGTAGAGGCACACGATCAAAATATCTTCATCTTTGATCTTGATATATAGAGCATGCTCGTAGGGACATTTGTTGAAGCCATTCTCTTGGAAGTACTTGTCGATTCGGCTATTCCATGCCCTTGGTGCTTGTTTTAGCCCGTAAAGAGCCTTCTTCAACTTCAACACCTTGTCTTCATGCCCTTTGACTTCATAGCCTGATGGTTGCTGAATGTAAAGTTCCTCTTCAAGAACTCCATTTAGGAAGGCGGACTTTACATCCATCTGTTGTATCTTCCACTTGTTTTGAGCTGCCAAAGAAATGATTAGTCTGATAGTCTCCAATCGAGCAACAGGAGCAAATACCTCATCATAGTCAATTCCAGCCTTTTGACTATAGCCTTTAGCAACTAGCCTCGCCTTGTGCCTTTCAATCTCTCCTTTGGCGTTTTGCTTTGTTTTGTACACCCATTGACACCTATCGCCTTATGTCCCTTGGGAAGTGAGGTAAGTTCCCATGTGTCATTCTTCTCGATGGCCTTGATTTCTTCGTCCATCGCATCTCTCCATTTCTTTTCTTGTACCGCTTCTTGAAAGCTCACTGGTTCACAATCGGCAAACAGACAAAATAATGTAAGATTATCTTGTCGTTCAGTTACCTCATAGAGATCTCTAAGGCTTCTTGTGCGTTGCACAACTCTTTCACTTTGACTCCCACTTGACGATGATGAAGGTGATGAGTCTCCTTGAGTGGTTGATGTTGGTGAAGTGGGTGGAGTTGCAAGCTCTTGTTGAGATTCATCTAGTTGCTCCCTCATTGTCTGCTCATCTTCTTCAAACTGAGGAAAGAAATTGAAGTCATCTGTATGGGAGTTAAAATCCCATTCTCCTTCTTCGTTGAAGACCACATCTCGACTAATCACAAACTTCTTATTTTCTGGATTGTACAACTTGTAGCCCTTCGAATTAGCATCATAGCCGATGAAGATAAAACTCTCGCTTTTCATCAAGCTTCGTTCTTCTCTCGTCTGGTACGTGAACATGGGCTATACTTCCAAAGGTTCTCAAGTGGGAAATGTCAGGCTTTCTTCCACTCCATGCCTCTTGCGGTGTCTTTCCCCATACACTTCTTGTTGGAGATCGATTTGACAAGTAGACTGCACACGATACTGCTTCCGCCCAAAATTCTTTGGGTAGTTTCTTGCTTTGAGCATGCTTCGTGCCATGTCGAGGATTGTTCTATTCTTTCTTTCTGCCACACCATTTTGCTGGGGGATCTAGGAACTGTCATTGGTCGACGAATTCCATTTGCTTCACATAACTCTTGAAACTCCCTGGAAGTAAATTCTCCACCTCGATCGGATCTCATGGCTTTGATCTTTCTACCGCTTTCTCTCTCCACTGCTGCTTTGAACTTCTTGAATACTTCAAAAACTTCTGACTTCTGTTTCAAGAAATATACCCAGGTTTTTCTTGAAAAATCATCAATGAAGAGAAGAAAATAGTTATTGTTACCGAGAGAACTTGGCTTGATCGGTCCACACACATCGGTATGGATGAGCTCAAGTGGCTTCTTAGCTCTTGTCTCTGACTCCTTTGGAAAGCTTTTCCTGAATTGTTTCCCGACTAGACACCCTTCACAGAGTTGGTCAGGATGGTTGATGTGAGGTAGTCCTTTCACCATCTCCTTCTTAGATAATAGCTCTAGACCTCCAAAATTGAGATGCCCAAATCGAAGATGCCAAAGCCATGATGCATCTTTGTAGCAAGCTTTCAGGCATTTTGCAACATCATTTTGTATGTTGATCAAGAACATTCTATTCTTTGACATCGACACTTTAGCAATGAAGTTATTCTTATCATCTTTTATAGAAAGATTATAATTATTCATATGAATATCATAACCTTTCTCTACCAGTTGCCCTAAACTTAAAATGTTACTTTTCATATTGGGCACATAGTAGACATTTGAAATAAATTGATGTCTCCCATCTTTCAAACGGATAAGAATGTTACCTCTCCCTTTCACTGCTATTGTGGAATCATCTCCAAACGAAACATTTCCACTTACTGACTCGTCTAGCTCCACAAACATGTCTTTCCTTCCACACATGTGATTGCTTGCACCACTGTCAAGATACCAGGAATTTGCTTGGCCACCATCAGTTTCCTTTCGTGCTAGAAGAAGAGTTTCTTTGCCATCTGTCTTTTCCTCCACGTAATTGGCCTTCTCCTCAATTTTGTTGTTGGGAGCTCTACATTCTGAAGCATAATGCCCAAATTTTGACAATTATAACATCGAATTTGAGATTTGTCATACTTTGAGTTTGGATTAATTCTTCCACGACCTCGTGTTGAGCTTTCTCCTTTCTCATAGTTGTTGTTGGAATTGTTATTGTTGTAATTCCAGCCTCGTCCACGACCTCGACTTCCACCTCGTCCATGGCCTTTACCTCTGCCTTGGCCACGTTGGTTTCTATCATTGCGTTGGCTCTCATGCATATCCTTGAGTTGCAGCTTGAGGAGTTGCTCAGTAAACTCATGCTTCTTTTTATGCTTCTCTTCGTATGCTTGCAATGATCCTTGGAGCTGTTCGATCTTCATTTCTTCCAAGTCTTTAGTTTCTTCAATCGTCACGACGATGTGCTCAAATTTGGGATCCAACGAACGGAGTATCTTCTCTATTATCCTCACATCGTCTAACTTTTCACCATTTCTTTTTAATTGATTAGAAACAGCTACTACTCTTGAGAAATAATCTGAAATAGACTCAGATGCTTTCATGTTTAAGGATTCGAATTCACCTCTTAATGTTTGGAGACGAACCTTCTTCACTTGCTCGGATCCTTTGTAAGAGGTTTGCAGCTTCTCCCACGCTTCCTTGCTAGAGCTTGCACTTGAAATCTTTTCAAAACCATCATCATCTAATGCTTGATAGATGAGGTAGAGAGCCTTCTTGTCTCTCTTTCTTGAATCCTTCAAAGTTGTCTTTTGATCTGGTGTAAGAGTAGCAAAAACATCATCATCCGCAGGCTCATTATAGCCTTTCTCTATGATATCCCACATCTTGTGATCCAAGAAGTGCCTTCATTTTGATACTCCAATTGTCGTAGTTGTTGTTGTTGAGTGTCGGAACTTGGAATGGTGCCATACCATTTGCCATATCTCTCAATATAATGAGATTTTGTAAAATCTGATTGCACGGATGAATCCGGAACGATGAAAAAAAAAAACTTTGGAGGGACTTGGACAACTCGGTCAAGGGCTCCAACTCGGCTGAATCGGCTCAACTCGGTGAGTCAACTCGATTTTCTGGCAGCAGTCTTCCGGCGGTGCGTGGCGGTGCGTCAGAACTCAGATTGAGAAAATTCTGGCGGCGTCGTATTCCTCTTGTCGAGACCTTCGATCTTTCCAACTCGCTCTGATGCCACTTTGTTGGAAATAAAACGCTCACACAAGCAACTTTTATTGAAGCTCAAAGAAATATTACAAGAACACTCTCACTCAAAAACAAGAACTACAACTCACTCTTATAAGACTTTGCTTCTTCACTCACTTAGAAGCTATTGATTTTTCTTGATGCTTAAAACTAAAATGGGAAGGGGTATTTATACTACTCAAGAACAATCCTACACCACACAAATAAACTAATTTAAACCATTACAAATTCAACAAATATCTAACTCTCACCTAACTAAATTGATGTAAGCAATGACATCATTAATTAAATGATGTAAGCAATGACATCTTTAATTAAATGATGTAAGTAATGACATCAATTTAGTTTGGGTTTGGGTTTAGGCTCTCATAATGGATCAAGTTTATGATCCAACAGAGGCTGCTTGCAATGCCACCGTTTCTTGCGCAGATATCCTGGCACTCGCTGCTAGAGATGGTGTAGTCCAGGTTATTGTTCTTAAAGCCGTAATTCATTTTACGAAAATCATTTTCGTAAATAAATATTTACTATTATGTTGTGGCAGCTTGGAGGTCCTACATGGCAAGTACTCCTGGGGCGTAGAGATGCAAGAACAGCCAGCCAAAGCGCAGCCAACAATCAAATCCCCTCACCATTCGCCAACCTTGCAGCTCTAACCTCTTCCTTCGCTGCCAAAGGCCTAAGTGCCCGGGACCTAACCGCCCTATCCGGTGGCCACACGATCGGCCTGGCTAGATGCGCCATGTTCCGAAGTCGCATTTACAATGACACCAACATCGATGCGAATTTCGCAGCCACCAGACGTGCTAACTGCCCTGCTTCCGGAGGTGACAACAACTTGGCTCCACTCGATACGCTGACCTCGACCAGGTTCGACAACAATTACTACCGAGACCTCGTGGCGCAAAGGGGGCTTCTTCACTCGGACCAGGAGCTGTTCAATGGAGGATCTCAGGACGCTCTTGTACAAACATACAGCAACAACCCTGCTACTTTTTCGGCCGATTTTGCGGCTGCCATGGTGAGGATGGGAAACATTAGTCCCCTCACCGGAACAAGTGGGGAGATCAGAAGGAACTGCAGGGTGGTCAACTGATTTTTGTGATCTCAAATACCCCAATTACTGATGATTTCAATAAGCTTCTCGCGCTGAGTTGAACAACTATATTATAATTGTCTAAGATCGAAAAGGAGTGTAGCCTTTGGATTTCTTTTCCTTGTATTCTGTTATGAAATCTTACAAGTTCTAGAGTTACTTTTCAATATATTTTAGGATAAATTACATATTTAATCACTCACCTATTCTCTCACGTTAAGAAAAGATACGAAGCACCAATCGTTATGATTCAACCAATAGTTCAAGGCATCAAATAATATTCTACAAAAAGTTCTAACCCTCAGATCTAATATACATGATAATAGGAGAACTGCCAATGCCAAATATAAAATAAAAAAGAGAGACAAAAGAACATGAATCAAAGCAGCCACATCCAAAATAAACAAAAAGAGCTGCTGCTTTTGCCAATAAGAAAAAACAGCCATACAAAGAACCATACCAGTTTGCCAATAAGAAAAACAGCCATACCAAGAACCATACCAGCCTACTCAATTTCACCAGGGGCTGGTGCATGCATTCTAACATACTTGTGCTTCACTTGCCATGCTTGAATCTTTCTGTCCAGGTCCTCAAGTTCTCCATAAAAAACTGAAGCAACTGATTTCTAGTAGTATCAACTGAACTTGTGGCTTCCTCAGTAGCCACTCCAACAACTACACCTCCAGCAACCATGCCTCGTCGATCAACATGCGACACTGCATACATACGCCACCGATATAACCTTTCATCATCAAAAAAATTACTGGTGTATTTCCCGAGTTTCTCGGGGATAAATAAAACATCCTATGTGCACCTCATCAATAAACGAGTGAGCCACTTTCAGCCTCTTCAAGCATTCGCCGACAAAATGTATAACAATGTTATTATTATTGTCATGCCAATATTGTAAATCGTTATATCAGCTTCTGTTACCAACTTAGCGGAAATGGACTATCTTGTAATTTTTTAAAGTTGAGTGAACCAACTAAAAACTTACTAATAGTCAAACTTTAACTGAACTTCAAACCATAAGTTTCAAACCCTATTACCAGTGATCATGAAAACTAACAGCTCATGTTTTATGAAATGGACTCAAAAAGATTCAGGCATATATAAATTTATATGCTTTAGCAATTCCAAAACAGGACTCAACCAGGTTCAATACCAGTCATTGAAGTCGAGGAATAGAAAACATGAGCATTAAGAAGCATCTAGCAAATCAGACTTTGTTCAATCTACCAAAAAACATAATGAAATATTATGCTAGTAACTCATTATCTAATCATCTAATTCAAAAGATCATCTCCCTGTAAACTAACCATATCCAGGAAAGCGATGTCACGAAGGGAGTAAAATGTGGTGTCCTAACTTTGGTTGTTACCTTGTTCAACTGGCAGGTCCGGTCCAAGTCGGAGGAAGGCGGTCTGATGCCATGGGAGGCATGCCACAAACATTGATGTCGATAGGGTACAAGCGGTATTTAATATCCAATTCGTTGAAAATCTTAACCAGTTCTTCGATCAAGAGAGCCCTTCTTATAAACCTCTCTCCCATGTCTTGGTGGTTCATTCTCTGTGTCACCCATATTGCTATCCTTACTCGGTTCAACACTTCGAGCTCCTTGAGTATGATCATCGTATCTTGATACCAGTGATCACTCCTGTGCTCGATGTAACTGCAGTAAGAGAAAATTGAATTGGTCAGACATGTTCGATTTATGTTCAAATACTAATAATAATAATACAGCTCATAGATGCACTCAAGCAATATATTAAAAACTGAAGATTTTTGTAATAAAGTTAAAAGAACCGAAAATTTTGCATCTTTTTCAACCCACCTCAATATCCTCTGCTTCATGAGACCAATCTTTTCAGCAGGAGTTTTCACATGGATACAGAATTCAACTATCTCTAACATGTCGGGGCTACGGTAGTAGTTATTTATGGCCTTCGTAGCCAACACGCTGTTCGGGATTATGATCTTCTGGTTATCGTATCTTAAGAAAACAGTAGTTAAGATGCTCATTTCCTCCACGAACATCTGAAATTCATTCAATAAGAAATTTGATACGCCAAGAATTTATATGAATATTAACATAAAAGGAAAAAAGAAGGGTTCAAACGGCTATCTAAGTACCTGAACTCCATCAATTTTGCACCTGTCACCCACATCAAATGGGTGCATGACGAACAAGAATATAATAGCTTCAAATATGGTCTTTCATGTGTTTGCTCTTAATTGGTTTTTGTTTCGCTATTCTGTATTTATATAAAACATATTTTTGTATGATGTTTAATGTCTTTTTGCGAACAAGGACAAAGAAAACACAATAATTTGGGTAGACTCGTTTTATAAGACAACTTCCTTAGGCCTATATATATATATATATATATATATATATATGTGCGAGGTGAAAACTAATTTTAATTTATTCAGGCAAAAACTTTAGTTGTTTAGTTAGGATGACTACTATTTAGGCAAAAGTTTTTTTTTATTACAAATATTTAAGCATGTCTTTCAACAAAAAAGTTCACTTGAGGAGTTAAAGCTTAAAATAAAAAGAAATGTTAAACTTTGGAGGAAAAGAAGAACCTCTTTGCTATATTATAGATTGTCAGTATCATTAAAGAGGTTTCTTCTAAGCGATGTTGTTAACCTTTGTGGTATGATTGAGACATACTACTCTCATTCTGTATCTTATGTGGATTTGTTTGTAGAGTTTGAGGATGTTGATGATGATGTTTCGAATTCGACTACCCAACAAATTAAGCAGAATGAGTTCGGGAACACATATATTGAGTATGAACACCCGGCATCATGGTTCAAACGTAATTGGGCATCGTAATATCATTAAGAAAAGTCTGTTTTAGGTGTATGTGTATGTTTTTATTTACTATTTTAGGTGTATGTGTATGATTTTATTTATTGTTTAGTCTGTGAAAGATGTGTGGTATTTCTGGTTCGTTGGTTTGGTATGCTTCATGTCATGTTTAATAGTTTGTTGTTTAATATAATGTTTATGGTTTGTTGTTTTTATAGTCCACATCTATAAAAAATCTCATATTGAATTTAATTAGTCATACTAAGAACAAAATCCTTTACAATATTACTTTCACTATTCCAGAAACAATAAAAACAACCTCTAAACGTGTCATCACATGAGCAATATGTTTGTAGAATCTTTTTGATGTACAAAACTGAGAAATTTTGGCAATAGTTGAAATAGTCATGCTTCTGCAGTGGAAAAGCTCTTTTTGCTTCATCTCTATATACAGTGGGTTTAGGCTGGACAACACTTGAAATCTGTTGAGTTAATCGATCTATGAATATGGCCAAGAGGGGGGTGAATTGGCAAATAAAAATTCCGGTGGAAGCTTGTGCAGAAAATTGAAAGTAATTGCGCAGCGATTTAGAGTGGTTTGACTTTCTCAACCAAAGTCTATGTCCACTACCTTAGCTATCCACACTAAGGATTTTCCAACAAATTCACTAATTTGTTCTTTCTTTTGAGGCCAAAGAGATAACCTTACAACTCCCTCAAGAATATACTCCAATTCTTGAGAACACTCTTTCTCAAAGAGAAGATTACAAATTTGCAAACTTACAAGGAAATCCTCACAAGGTAGATTGTTTGCACAATTCTAGAACAAAGAAAAAACACTCAAAAGTGAATACAATTGAGTACAAGTAGTGTTCTTGAAAGCAAAATGAATATTGAATGAAAAATAGGCTTGAAATGCTCAAACTTGAGGTTTGGTGCTTTCTCTTTGATTCTCTCTTGATTCTAGTTGCTTGTTGTTTCTTGTTTTTTATCAATGGCTTCTAAGCTTGTTTAAATACACCTTCAAATGATTCTGAACGTTGGGATGATTAGTGGTGTCAATAGAGTCGTTTAAGTATGAAAACAATTAATTAAAGCAGTTGGGAGCGTCAGTGCATTGATGCATACCCTAGGTGCATCGGTGCATCAGTGTAAAATTTAAATATTTTGACCATTGGACTCTCAGTGCATCGGTGCACTAAGAGTGCATCGATGCATGAAATGCATTCGATGTTTTGAAAAAGCCTAAGTGCATCGATGCATGATATTGTGCATCGATGCATAAAATGCATTCGATGTTTGAAAAAATAATTGGTGCATTGATGCATGGATTGGTGCATCGGTGCATCACTTTGAAAAATTGATTTTAGGCTTGATTTTGGTTCAAAATACTTTGTGAAAATTGTTTCAAAAATAGTTTAAGTATAAAACACAATTTTACACATTTAGTAAGGTTTGAATTTGAATTTGAAAGACTTTGAGTAATAATTTGATATTCGATTAATTAAATCGAATATACTTAGAAAATCATTTGTAAAATCTTAAAATTCATTTAAACTTAATTTGTTATATCGAAACAAAAATATTTTCAACAATATCTTTCTTGAAGACTCTCTTTTATGTGGAGCAATCGTATGCCTAAAGCGTAAGTTGCTTCGATGACACCCATGGTAGAGGCTTGCTTGAAGATATGACAACCAACTTCAACATTAACATAATATTTGGAAAACACTGAATTATACCTCCCTTAAACAACGCATTTGGATTTTTGGAAACATAAGTCTTTCGTACGAGCAACCATTTAGAACGATCCATATGTTTCAATGCATATCAACGAATTCGAACATTTACAAATATGAATATATAGTTTGATGACCAAGCAAATGTCTCAGCAAGTTAAACGAAGATGGAGAAAGTCCTCAATAGAATTAGAAGCAGTGCAACATAAAATCTCAACTAATATATCATTTAGGAGATATGATAATGAATATTTAGCTACCATTGAAAACGATGGAAAAGTCTATGAAAATGACATAAAATAATCAGAAAGATACACAGAAGGTAAACTACTGTCCGCTCGGTATGAGGTGCCCTATGCTATCTCTAGTAAGGGAATCGACATAGTAAAGATGTCCTGGCAAAACCGATTGGCGTAAACCCCTACAGTGATCCTATTGGTCCAGATAACAGGATATGTCTCGGCAATACCTTTTTGCGGCATCATTAACATCTAACCTATCGTTCTTGCATATCTCCTTTTAGTCGAATGAAATCCTAGCCTTATCTCTAAGGTGGATTAGGCCTAGTTACTACCTAGAACCCCTTGTTTATATGGCTCCTCCCTAGTTTCTCTCGAATACTAAGGATATTTTGCCAAGGTATTCTCTCAAGCCCTAAAAACCTCCCAAGAAAAAAAATACTCTCGTAGCTCCTATAACCTTAAGACATTAAGTTTCATAAACAAAACAGATTAAAGCATATAAAAACAACCATTCATTGAAATAACAACTTAAACATCCAAGCGAACTTCCACCAAATAGGATTAGTTCATGGCGAGGTTCGAAATAAACAAGTACAAAGCAAGTTCCATTCGTTCCTTACAACCCAATAACAAAATATGAAAGCAAAGAACTAAGGAGAGGAGAGAAATCCTTCGACGTTCACTGCCCAGTGCTTCCCTCGGCCACCAAGAACTGCTCTCAGCGAACTGGCTCATCTTTGACGCTCAGGACGCCACTCCCTCAGGCTTGTCAAGGAGAAATGCCACGATAAGTAGGATTGACGGAGAAAGATGATACCTTCTCTCTCTAACTTTTTAAGCTCAAATCTGGGTGGAAGCAAAGTCTTTAACAATGTGGCTTCATCCTCTATTTATAGGGGAAAACTAATCCTAGGACTTGGTGTTTACTATCTTAGGATACCCCAAAACCATGGTTAAATTGCTTGGGAGTCGAGCAGAACAGGCTATGATACAGCTTGGGTAGCTGGCTGAGTGACCGGCATAATCCCTTTGCAGGCACCCAAGGACAGACAGGATCTGCAGGGTCAGGCGACGTCATAAGAAGAAAAGGCGGTTACAGTGTCGGTCCCTCCAGGCTGATCTTCGAGGTGGATTTCTCGGGCAGAGCTCTCGAAAAGTCGGAGACAGCTGGCTTTAAAAATATCTTCTCGCACTTTAAGCGCTTTCGAAATGTCGGTTGAACTTGACAATTTCATTTTGCTCAGCAATCTCCTTATGTCACGATATTTTCTTTCCTCTTCTCCTTGCTTTCAATTCATGCACATCTTCAAACAAGCACCTTTCCCATAAGGCAGCATCGTTTTAAAAATAAAACGCCGTGACAAACTGAATTCCACCACATGCAACTAAATGCTTCTAAATGCATCTACATGGTCCTAAATGAGCTATTAGACACTCAATAACGTAAGTGAAAAGGTCCCAAAATGTGACCTTTTAACTACTGAGGACCATTTGCTTCATCTCTCATATATATAGTGTCTGATGCTCGATAAGATAAAATATGAAGAAAAAGAAAGGTGCATTCCAGAGAATCTCTGTCGTGTCTTAGTGTTTTCTATTATTTAGAAAATCTCTGTCATGTCATAGTGTTCCATCCCATCCGAAATGAAAGGCGTGTTCCAGGGGAACGTTTTCCATTATTATTTAGAGAATCTCTGTCATGTCATAGTGTTCTGTCCCATATGAAATGAGAGGTGTGTTCGAGAGGAAACATTTTCTATTATTATTTAGAGAATCTCTTTCATGTCATAATGTTTTATTTAGAGAATCTCTATTATGTCATGGTGTTCCATCCCATCTGAAATGAAAGACGCGTTTCAGGGGAAGTGTTTTACATTATTATTAATAGAATCTCTGTTATGTCATAATGTTTCATCCCATCCGAAATGAAAGACACATATTTCATTATTATTCAGAGAATCTCTGCCATTTCACATAATTGACATGAATTGTTCCCCGACCCTCAATCTCTTAAACTCTTCAATCCTAAAACTAAGTATCTTTGAAATCTCAAACTCTCAAATGTGTAAACTTTCAAACTTTGAAACTCTCAAACTCTCAAAATAAGAAAATGACTCCTATTTCAACTGTTGTTTACTATAATGGAGAAATTGGTGAAGATGAATACAGGGTTGTTTTCCTATCATATCATTATATCCTTTTATCCTTCAGGAGAAACATCATTATTCAC